GCTACCGGCACCGGTTTTTTCGGCAAATGCTTCTAGCTAAACAAATTAAGACTGGCCACCAGAACTTCCAGGAAACATCCCCTTAAAATTTCAACTTTCTAGCTTTTCTGTCTCCTGAGTTAGAAATTTAGTGGAAGAAAACTTTCACGGACTAGCACGTGTGTATCACGCATACGCGGGGGCTGGGTTTGAGCTCATCAGTACCTACTTGGACGGGAAATGTCCGCATAAAATTTCAGCGTCCCAGCACTTCTGGTTCCCGAGTTATCAACTTCCTCGAAAAAAGTTTTGGCGGGCCCGTACACGGGTACTACGCTTACCCGGGTCTGTTTTGGGCTCATTAATACCTACTTGGACGGGGAACATCCTCTTAAGATTTCAGCTTCCCAGCATTTCTGGTTCTTGAGTTAGCAGCTTACCCGTAAAGAACTTTGGCGGGTTGTTACGTGGGCACCACGCGAGTAAGACCGCCCATTTTGAAGATGGGAGCTCGTACGTGCATGTAGATCAAGCTCCCAAAGTTTCAGCCTGTAGCTTTTGTAGGTCTCGAGATGAAAAATCGGCACAGAGGCCCTGCGCACACACAGACACACACGCACACACAGACAGCCTCTCGTCAAAATGCGTTTTCCGCATTGCATAGTTGCAAAAAATGCATAAAAAGCATATTGACGAAAAGCTGTGTGTGTGTGTGTGTTTGTGTGTGTTTGTGTTCGCGTGTAATTTCGCTTGCGTGTTCGCACTTTTTCTTCCACTTTCGACTCAGCAACCAGTGAAACTAGAAAATTGGAATTTTTGGAGCATATTCCTACTCTGTGTTGGATTCTTCGCCTCTGAAATGATCATCCTCCTGCTTCTACATCTCGCGTATGGATTCCTCAAAAATTTATGCGAATTTTTAGGTGAGAAAGCGATTTCGGGAACCAAGTTTGGAAGGTGAAGCATAGCAGAGGCATTCAGTGCCCTTACTTGAGCTAAACATTTTCAATTCAGATGGAGCGCATGCATACGTCGTGAGTACGGGCACGTTAAATTTGCGCTTTTATAGTAGCTGGCAAAATACTAACTCGGGAACTAGGCTGAATAGACTCCTCTGATTTAACGTACGTATTTGCTCTATATGTCTTAGTCCGCATACATGAAATGAGCATTCGTGTATGCCTTCGAGCATATTAAACCATTTTTGGGGAACAGCGATTCCTAGAGCTAGATAAGCTTTCTGATGGGGGGATGGGATGATGCGTGACAGGAAATTCATTTTAAAAACTGATCTAGATTTTGCGTATGAGCAGGTGACACTTCCAGCTGGAGCACTTTGACAGCCATTAATTCGCGAATCAGAGTCCGTGGGCGGTTGCACTGTTATGAAGGTATCCGTTGTAAATGCCTGAACCCGTATGCATAAAACTGGCAACTGCGGCTCACCCTGTCCAAATCATTCCACTACAGCACGATCTAGTGCAAAAACGCATGATTGCACCGGCCGGTTTGGTGCGTGCCGCCAGTGATTTATTATATGCCTGTAAATTAGAGATTAACAGGTTTAGTGTAGGTTCAAGTGAATGTGTGCTTAGACGTGAATCGGTCGTTGGTTCTACCAGTTGGAAACAATTCTCCTAAGAATTGTTGATTTGTTCCGTAGCTAATTGGTACTGGCATTTGCCAAGGAGTTCCATTGGCTTGCTGCTGTGCAAACCATCCGCGGAGAAGGCTGTTGCCATCATTAACATTGGCGGCGAATGTTTGCTGTAAGCTGTGTAAATCCCACTTGGATTGCTTTCTTTACCTTTGCCCCTCATGGCCAATCAGCGAAGATGGGTTTTTAAGGTGCTTTGGGGCTGTTATGGTTAATGATGTCTTCCTCATTTTCTTTCAGTTATGTGTTTTACTTGGAGCGGTGTTCTGCCGTTTTAGGAAGATTGGAATCTATGCTTCGCCCCAGTTCCGAAAAACAGAACCTTATCACCGATACCTTGAATAGCGGGAATACTGTGTTTCCTCCTTATTGTCAACGAGGGTTCATTGCTTTAGGCTTTTGCAGTCAGTGGCCTCACTGCTGGTGGTTTATTTGCGTTTTTCGACTTTTCATGCGCAGCCGTTTTTCAAAATTTAGTTTTACTCAGTTCAAGTCTGTAACAAGTAAGGAAACTGGATGCAGTTCACCAAAAAGCAAACTTCGGTTTTGCTGACTATGCAGTTGTGGCTGCAGTTAAGCTGTTCTTTGTGCCGCGCGATACTCACTGTTCTTTACGAAGGAAATATTTACAGAAAGCGGAACGGGAGATGATTTGATGACATCTTGTGAGGGATCGACCGGCAAATCTGACCTGGATGATACACTTAGCGATGCAGGAACCTACGTTGTTGGCACGTTATTGCACTTTATTTAAAATATGTTCGAGAGGGCAGAGGTGAAGTGTGATGATGGCAGGATGAAGAGGGTGAGCTAAGGAGAATGCCTGAGGACAAAAATTCCATGTATTTGAACAAAACTCGAAATTAATGAATTTCCAGCAGAAATTGGTTTCAAAATATTTCGAAGCTCTTCTGAAAATATTTCGGAGCTCATCCGTTTCAAAATATTTCGGAGTTCTTCTGAAATATTTTCAAAAAATTGAGTGCTGGATATTGTAGATACCTGCTTTTTGAAATACTTAACAGCAGCTTTTTTGAACAAGTAATTGTTAGACTGTGTACTAAGAACTGCTTGCTTATTAGGACTACTGTCTTAGCATTTGGCATTACTGAGTTGATGAAGATTTTAAAAAAGAGAAAGTGAAAACAGATGGCACTTCCGGGTCGTTTCAATTGTAGGTAGTGTCGATGTTGCAAGGATGCTTTTGTGTGTGTGTGTGTGTGTGTGTGTGTGTGTGTGTGACAGTTGAATTCCAGGGCGCGGGAAATTTCAGCGTTAAAATTATCAGTATGTGGCTCAACTTACACTCTTGACTGTCCTAGGCTTGAAGACAGCTTTCGGCTTGTTTCTTGGATTTTTACCATTTGACTTGATGGGGAGGATGACGGATGGCACTGATTTTAGCTCAACTATAATGTTTTCCTGTTTCCAGTCGCTTGCACCAATAAGCATTTACTGAATGGCTTACGGCCAAGAAATTGATAATTAGTAATGAATCTTTAAATTTGAACCCCATTTGTATTCACTTTCAGATGATGGTGATCGACTAAATCAGATAGTCGCCTCGCAGACTGTCAAAGATTCCGATGCTGAAAGCGTTTCCAGGTAGTAGCACTGCCCATATGAAATGGTAGCTTCATATCGTCTAAGCTGCTTGCCTCATCCCTCATCTTTTTCCCTATCTTTTGACCTATTTTTGTTATTTCGGTGCACACGTTTAAAATTTACTTAAAAGGGGAAAATTTATTCGATGCATTTGCATTGATAGCCGGCAGTATGCAGAATTTGCTTCAAACACAGCCGAAACGAAATTATTGTTATTCTTGGAAACAGAGAAATACATCATTTTATGGCACGTTTTTGAGCCCATACGATTTGTCGTTCATGAAATTTTTCAGTGAGTCGACCACTACTCAGAACAGTGATCATCGCCTTTCTTCTGCACCTTTGCGAATGGCGCCGGTAATTTTCAATTTTATGGGTTTTGTGTAGTGTAACACCTTCGCAGGGCGCATATTGTCACGTTTCTGTCCGTGTTTGTGTATGTCTGAGTATGTCCGAGTGTATTTTGTCCCCCGCTTTTTAACTCCAGAGCCGCAAAAGCAAGAAAGATGAAATTTTAGGAAAATGTCTCTCGCCTGCATGTGATTTTGCAAATTTTAATGCAGCCTTTGCGTACGCATAGCTCTCCTGTGCAGTCACGTTAAAATCCTGGCGTCAAAACTAATAACTCGGAAAGTACTAAGCCAGGACGCTAAAAATTTAAAAAAGTGTTCCCTGCCCACGTGTGACCCAGCAAATTTAAATTCAACTTCCGTGCATGCTTAGTTCTTGCGCGAGGCAACTTTTGAAGCCGAATTAACTCGAGGCTACAAAAGCATGGGGGCCCTGGGAGAGTGTCCCTTGCCCATATTTGACACTCGAAATTAAATTCAGTTTTCATGTCGCCTATGTCTTACTATGATCACGTGAAGTGTAGGGCGCCAGAATTACTAATTCTGGCACCACGAAGACCAGGAAGCTGGAATTTTAAGGTAATATCCCAAGCCAAGTATGCATTCCAAAAATATGGTGGTTGACTGCAAATTTGCTGAAAGTATTTCCACTGTGTGCATCTGTGCGGCCTTGTAGATGCCGATAGTAAAAAAATCCAATGGTTTTTATATCTCTTTTGTGAAGAAACACCACGGCCGAAGGATATTTTTGTCCCGGAAAATATGGTAATTTGTGAACGGGAAGTTTAGTAGCTTTTCTTGTTGTATTAAGAAGCCACTTCGGTTCTTTTCGGGCATCTACTAGAACTTCGCTCGGCTTGGCTTTGGTTGAAAAGCAAAGTGCAAAAACTGCCGTCGGCGATCGGTAGTGTCCGCTCGCGTTAGGTAGCTTAGCTTTAAGGGATGGTGAAGGAAGCGTTGTGGCGCTTATTTGGTCCGCAGAGATTCAGGATTGGGATAGGCAATTAATAAAACTCGAAACGGCGCGCACTCGTTTTGTAGGTCTAGTATTCCTCTGAGTGCTGGACGATTTAGAATTTGAGGGTAATGGGTGAAGGAAGAGTGAAAGTGTGTTGCTGATTTGGGCTACGGAGACTCAGGGCATGAGTGGGACTAGGATATTGTTGGCTGGAGAATGCGATTATAGAGGGCTGGAGAGAACTGAGGCGTTGGTTCGGAGGCAAGAATTGAAGAAGGGTAAAAAAGATAACGGGGACACTAGTCAGGAGCTGGAGGCAGTAGTATAGAGAAGGAGACAACACAGCGTCACAAAAGAAGACAAATTAAAACAGTCTGAGCCTGTGAATAAGACAAAGAAAAAGCGAAAGCAAAAAAAAAAAAAATCTGAAACCCCGCTGACACTGTGTTTACCAAGGCAAAGGAAATTCTCCTACCCAGGCTGGAAAGCACAGGGCGAGCTGGTGCGATCATACGTTTTTGCACTATTTCGTGCTGTAGCAAGATCGCAAGAAATCACAGTAGTTAGAATTTGTGGCATACTGGCCCTCGAAGTTCGGGATGTCAATTGTCAGGTACACGATGTGTCAGTTGTAGGTGTCGGCTTCACTGACCCGACAAACGTAAAATTGCTGGTACGCGAAAAAGGCCTCCTTAGAAGAGTTGAATTTGAAGTGCTTTGGTCGTACATGAGTGTTGAACATTTCCGTAAAATTTCAGCCTTCTAGCTTTTCTCGTTTCCAAGTTAGCAGTTTTCTCATTACAATTTTCACGTGCCCGTGCGTAGTTCCCGGACGGTTCTAAGAGGTTGAATTTGAAGTGCTTTGGTCGTATATGAGTATTAAATATTGCCTAAAATTTCAGCCTTCCAGCTTTTCTCGTTCCCAAGTTAGCAGTTTTCCCGTCGAAAATTTCACGCTCTTACACGCGGGCCCAGACGTGCTTGAGGGTTGGTGCTGCGGTCCTGCGGTCGCATTTGGCTGGGAATCAACTGGCGAAATTCTGGCGCTTGAGCTTGCTTGGTTGTCGAGTTGAAATGCCCGAACAGCCGAATACACACATGCACGCACACAGGCAGAGTCGTTGCAGTATGTGTTTTTGCTGCCTGTTGCAGCGCTGTAGCGCTGCACGGCAAAAACGCATAACTCAGGCTGGAACGCACCAGGCGAGCCGGTGCGGTCATGCGTTTTTGCACCAAACTTGAAGTAATTAGTTAACTGCATGAACGGTTGTTTCTTCATTCCTACCTTGTGCGCTCAACGCCGTAAATCATCGTAAATTTTGCATAAAAGAAAATAAACAGTTCCCGTTAGCGGTCATTTTTTGAAAATGACCCAGCTGTTCAATGAGTAATTTTCCTGCCAAAAATTTTTCCCGCCAAAAAAATTCCCGTACACGAGAACCACACGTAAATGGAGGCTAAATTTGAAACCTTTAAGATGTGTTTGAACGGGGAATATTTTCCTAAAAGCTCAGCTTTCTAGCCTCTCTGGTTCCCGAATTAGCAATTTTCTCGCCAAAAAAAAATTTACGGGCCGTAAATGAGAACCACGTACAACTGTGGGCTGAATTTGATAGGTTTATGTTGTACTTTTGCTGAGAACATTCCTTGAAAATTTCAGTCTCCCAGCTTTACTGGTTCCCAGGTTAGCGATTTTCGCGCCAAAAATTTTCACGGGGCCGTACGTGAGAGCCACAAATGCCTGAGGGCTGAACTTGATAAATTTAAGCTGCAAGTTTGCCAAGAACACTCCCTGAAAATTCCAGCTTCACAGCTTTCCTGGTTCCCAAATTAGAGATTTTCGCGTCAGTAAACCTCACGGGGCTGTACGCGGGGTCCATGCACGCCCGAGGGCTGAGTTTGAGATCTTTGAATTCTGTTTGGACAGGGAACATAAAAGTTCAGCTTTCTAGCTTTTCATGTTCCCGAGTTAGCAGTTTTTCCGCCAAAATCTTCATCCTCTCGTACGCGAGGCCCAGACTTGCATAAGGGTTAGTATCGCAGTTCTGGAGTGACACATGGCCGGGGGACCCACTAGCAAAATTTTGGCGCCGGAGCTTGCTCGGTTGTCGAGTTGAAGTACCCTTACAGACGAGCACACAAACAGGGTCGTTGCGATATGCGTTTTTGCAATTTGCATATAAGCAAAAACGCATAATAAAAACCCATCGTCAACAGCGGACTTTCTCTGTTTGTGACCCTCGTGCCTGGATGAAGCTGAGAATGAATAAGTTCAGCTGGATTTGCACGAAAAGTTTGCCTAAGCCCTTAACTCAGCATCAAATTTCTTGCTCAATGTGGTAAATCTGTAAGGGGGATTTGAACTGAGACTCAATTAATCGATGGAAAACAACGATTCTGCTGGCAACATAGCCAGGCTGCAACGACTGTAGCACGAACAATGATCATGCGGCAGTGAAAGAATTCAAGATATGTTCCTGAATTATTTTCAAATAAAAGGGAGCCGTTGTGCTCTTGTTTTTCTGTTTTTGAATTCTTCATGCGCTCAGATCTTTGCGCCTAAGTATTCCAGTGTTCCGGTTTGGTTGGATTCTGGGCTGTGTTAGCGACATTTATATCCCTGTTTTTTTTTTTTTTTTCTTTCTGTAAAATCTCACAGAAGCAAAACCCGACCCCATTACTGTTCACCCAGTCCACTCCTTTTTTTGCTCAGTTGATATCCTGCATTTCCTTCCTTAACAATCGTAAAAAAAACCACACTTTACTGGTGCTCAGCTTTATCTAAGTCCGATCGTCACAAATAGGGAAATTTCTTCCCATTCTTATTGCCGAAGGCAATAGACTAAAATTTTTTTGTAAATCCAACCGATTTTACTCTTCCTCAGCCTTCTCTAAGCATGAACAGCACAAATAGGGAAAGTCCCCTATTGACAGTGGGTTTTTACACGACAGTTTCTACTTCCTTACGTTTAGATTTGCTTCATCATTAATTTTCTTTGCAGTACTTTGTTGTCCCTTTCCCTTTACCGTTGTCTCAAGTTCCTGCCTCGAGCTGCTGACTAGTATCCTCGTTCCCTTTCTCTACTCTATTCCCCGTTCCAGCCTCTAAAGCAGCGTTTTAGTCCTCTCCGGTCCCCTACAATTGCTAAACTCACAAACCAATGCACATTGTGCTATCGAGTCAGTTTTTTGTAGTGTCTTTTCCAATCCCTCAGCCTATCCCTAGTTT